GTTGCCATTAGTAGATGTGGTCATAACACACGGCGGGAACAACACTATCACCGAAACATTCAGTTGTGGTAAACCAATGATTGTAATGCCATTGTTTAGCGATCAATACGATAACGCACAGAGAGTTATGGAAAAGGGATTTGGGATTAGACTTAATCCGCACACCGTTTCAGAGAAGCAATTATTGCATTCAATTGAAAAACTATTAAATGACAAGGAATTGAAACACAAATTATCGGTCGCTTCGAAACGCATACTTAACTCCAATAGCCTTCAAAAAGCGGCCGAAAAAATTGAAAATCTAATTAAATATTGTGTAAAATTATTGTCATTTAAATTACAAATAAAATAATTCAGTTATAAAAATAATTTGAATTTTTTAAAAACCTTTATTATAGTTAAAAGTTATATATTGCAACAAATTTTGCAATAATTAAGTTTTCAATCATTTTATAAAATAAATATTATGCGTTCAAAATTCAATGGCTTATCAATTATCTTATAGTGAAATTCAAGGGCTAATTGAATTCAATGGATGGCATTAAATTTTACCATAACATATACGTTATTTACTTTTATCATAATTGTTTTGATAGCGATTATACAATTCAAGGACTGAATTTCAGTATTTTAAATAATTATTTAGTTTAAAAATAAATTCATTTAAATTATATTAATTTGAATGAATTATATAATTAAATAATAAATAGTGTCAAACAATGTCTACTCAAACGTCTACCAAATACTGTCGTATATGCGGCGATATAGCGTGTGGTAATAATCTTTATACCAGGATGGTTTATTTAAATCATTAATAATTATGTTTGTAAATTAAATAAAACAGGCTTTCATTTCGATGCAATGAGTTGTGAATCTTGTAAATCATTCTTCAAGAGGAATGCTTTGAAAAATATGGTAAAACAGTATTTATATACGAAAATTACATTAATGTAAGAATTGATTTAATACAAGTATGAATTCAAATGCTTTTTGGGCGGCAATTGTGTCATAACTGCCGACAATCGGAAACACTGTAAGAGATGTCGTTTAGATAAGTGTTTGGCCGCCGGAATGAAACCCGTATTTATTTATATCATTTTTAATTGTAATTATTTTTAATGATTGTCATTTTTAATGCATTTTAATCTAGCACTTAATTTATTGCCGTAAACTTAAATGGGATCTAAAGTACTTAAATGACATACAAGTAGTCGAGGGCTCGTCAACCAGTGGTGAAGATTTATTACCGTTTGATTTCACGGATAAACAATGTATTGACACAAATGTGGACAATATTTGCGATATGAGTGCACACATATCGGGCCAACAACTGGTGGCCATCGATAAGCCGATCACTGATTACAACACTGTTTTCAATGAATTAGAAGGCAATCGATTCACTGAATTACTGAACGCCACTAAAACACCTGAAAACACGGCTAATCCCAGGGATCAGACACTTGTCGATGAGATGACCGACGGATTACTTGTATTAGCGATGAAACACGAGAATTGGATTAAAGATACGGTAGAAATGTGTCAACTATTGTCTAGTTTTGGTGATCTATGCGAAAACGATCGGTTAATTTTGATTAAATACTCGTCGATTAAGATTAATGTTTTACGTATGGTTTCGTCGTTTAATTATCAAGGTAATTATTGGAATATAGCTTTGGTGAGTACTTTAATTGCATATAACATTGTGGTAAAAATCTAAATTTTGTACAAAATAACCAGGGCGAAAAGTCATATGTAGTTCATTTGGACTTGTTAAAACCCCATATAATGGATGGTGAAATTGGCAGTACTTACGATTGTCACAAAAAGTTTCTACAATATTTTGGACTATACTGGGAATCAGATCCGCTTATTATTTATTTTGTAATTATTGTAATTATAACAAATAAATTACAATTAATTCAATGATTACTATTTCAGTTAACAGCAATCTTCCTATTTAACCCCAATCGTCCGCACCTAACTCATAAAACCACGATTAAGTAAGTATAATGAATTAACATTATGGTACAATAATAACAATTTATTTTAACGTATCATTTCTATATTATAATTTCTATAAAATTCATTAATTAACCCTAATTAATTCTAATGTATATTATTATTATTTGCATTAAGACACCAACAGAATGTATACATATATTTATTTAACCGATATTTACGAATGAAATATCAGTCGGAATTGTTATCGTCGGCCAAAATAATGAGTTTAAAAAGTTGTATAAAATATTTAAATAAGTTACATGATAAAATATTGGAGCACTGCATCGGCCACTGGCCTAAACACACGACACCTCTCTTTACGGAGATTTGCAATCGTTATGAATAAATACGGATTCATTCATTACATAATAATTATTAATTATAAGTTAATTAAAAGTAACTATTTTACTGCCGGATGTAATGAAAATAAGTCCACATCAATATACCATTTAACTTTCAAAATAAATTTAGTAAAATAATTAATAGGATTATAAATAAGACTAAATTCTTTGAATTTCAAACAGGGTAATAATTTATAAACTAATAATAAACATTCAAAATTGTTTAAATTTTATTCGACAGATATTTACATGATATACAGTACAAAACATTGTTAATTTACTATTAATTTATATTATTTATTAATTACGATTTGTAAACTATTTTAGGCTGAAATTTATTCATTAATCAAAATTAGTTTTGAAAATTGTATTCAAAAATTATAACTTTCGTTAAACGTTTTGTTTTATTATATAATAATACTTTCGTTAAAAAGCATACAAATGACAATAATATGGCATAAGTTTCAATTAATTATGAAATGTTTATCAAATTTTTAATCAAATTGTTTGCTATTATAATAATTAAATAGTAATTAAATTAAACATTTACTGCACTTTTCTTACAATAAAACTTCTTCTCATTATTTCCACTGATTTTAATGTTCTTTAGTTTAGGACTTCTGGACAACAGATCCCAGAAATCATTATCCAAGAGATCAATGCTATGATTGCATTCAATGTCTAGTGTCTGCAGCGCCGGTAGTCTCGAGATATGAACCAAACACTCGCCAGTGATTGCATCGGATCTGATGGTTAGGTATTGAAGTCGCGGCCAATGGTTACCGCAATTATCCAGTAATTTATCACTCATTTGCATTGTATTGAGTGTTAAATGCGTTAATCGTTGGCAGAGTTTTAACGGTTCCAACAGTTTCTCGTCCATAGGTTTGAATATTAATAAATCCAATCGTTTTAATCGGGAAAAAACTCTCAATGAATCCATTGTATTGCCATAGAGTTGGGGATCAGTTGAGTGCAACGCGAGTGACAATCGGCGCAATTGTTTGCAGTTTTGGCCAATTGTACGCAAACATGCGTTCAATGAGTTGTGAGCACTCGTTAGCATGAAATGTACCGACAATTCCCGTAATTGCGTTAATCGTGACAATTGTCCGCACATTTCGGTCAGCGTATCGTTAGTATCTGTTTCGTCAGTTCTTAGGCCAAGACTTTTAAGCGACTGATTGTGTGCCACAAATGCGGACAACTGTTGGTTATTATCATTTGAAGTCCAAGTATATGAAAATGTGTGTAAATTCTTCGCCAATAACTGTCCGGAAGTGTTGTCGAAGGCGTCGGACAACTCGAGGGCATGTAATTCAGACAATCGGTGGCAATGAATGAGTGATTGTCTCTTCAATGGGTCCATACAATAGATTCGTGTCATAAGAGATCCGAACGATTGGCACAATTGAGAGGGAAAACAATTGCAGTAAATGTCCCGCAAATGCCGGCAATTGTCTTGAAATATGGCCAACACTTCGTCAACGTATTTGTAAGATAATGTCATTCCTCGGCAGTCAATGGTCGCAATGTTTGGACACTTTTTGGCAATTCTTAGGCTTAAAGTAATCATATAATAAATATCTTTGATCGACGACTTCGGCTGTGTTTTGCAGATGAGTTTGTCGTCGAGAGTGATGTCCACAACACTCTCGAAGACAGTCCTCCGGAACTGTTTGGACACACATTCGGTGGCAAAACGGTCTTCGAGTGTCAGATATGATAACAAGAGTTGACACAAATCATCACCGAATCTGTCCATTGAGTCCTTCGCATACATTTGTGGCTAAAATGTGAGACAAAAACTCAATTAACACTTAATTGTTGTGAAATTATTAGTGAATTACCTTTTGTTTGTTGTCTTCATAGCTGTCATCTGCGGTAACATCTGATGTCTTCATGTGCTTTATCTCTTCTGCCATGTCTTGGGATCAACTGAAGTGATTGTTTGAATGAATTATATTTGTGGTCACAAAACATGTGATAATATTTACATTCAATGAAAACCAATGAAAACAACACAAAGTGTTGACAACAAGACTCACATCTATTGACACATATTTTTGATAACAGTTGTGTAAAACTTTTGGTCTGACTTTCAATGAGTTTTATTACTACAGTATTAACAATAAATAGATTTATAGTTAATTTTAAAAAATTTTAATTTTATTATTTGTAAAAAGTTTACAACGATTTTTAAAGTAATAAATGATTCAAAAATACATTTAATGAATAGAAATAATGAATAAACGGATCCCAGAATTCATTGTATGGCAAATGAGTTACAAATTATTTGACCACAATATCAGTGATAATCGCTGTAATTGTTTGCACTTTAAGCTACAGTAATTGTACGCAAACAATAGTGCATAACTAAAATAAAGTTTGTAAAAATTTTATTTATTGATTACTTATATTGAAATACAATTTTTACGAATCAATTATTTTATTTGTAATTTAAATGACAATAATTTTACACAATATTTAATTAGATTTAATTAGATTTTCAATTTTTTCGGCCGCTTTTTGAAGGCTATTAGAGTTAAGCATACGTTTCGAAGCGACAGATAATTTGTGTTTCAATTCCTTGTCATGCAATAACTTTTCAATTGAATCCAATAATTGCTGCTCTGAAACGGTGTGCGGATTAAGTCTAATCCCAAATCCCTTTTCCATAACTCTCTGTGCGTTATCGTATTGATCGCTAAACAATGGCATTACAATCATTGGTTTACCGCAACTGAATGTTTCGGTGATAGTGTTGTTCCCGCCGTGTGTTATGACCACATCTACTAATGGCAACACTTTTGTCTGCGGGACTGACGGCTCGCCCCACATATTGGCCGCCAATTCATATGTGTCTCCGAAGACTCCCTTCGAGACAATAATCTTGTGCTGACTTTTGCTGAGAATAGACACCAATCTCTTCATGAGATCCACATTTGCTGAACCCATAGAACCCAATGAGAAATAAATTAGTTTACTTTTCTCGACATCTCTTTCCCGAAATTTATCGGGAATTTTAAACTCTTGTTTCTCTCCTCTTCTCATGAATGCGTCGACTCTTAACCACTTCTCCGGAAGTGGTCTGAGATCTAAATAATCCAATTCTTCGGGATATCCATAGATATTAAGATAAGGCGAGTCTGAAATGCCTGTATTTCCAGTGTTGAGAGGATATCCCTCTTCTTTCATCCATTCATTGTATTTAATGTTTAAATGTTTAAACTTTTCTTTTGATAATTCAATGAATTCATGCCATTCTTGTCGGTCACCATTTGAAGCATAGCCTGTATTTGCGTACAGTAAATATAACATTATTAAAATGAGCATGTTTATAATCTAATAGTACATTACAAACAACAACTGACCCGAATTGCCCGGTGGTGTCCTCTCGTCCTCGATTACCGACAATGGATTCCCGCTATAGAGAAAAACCCAGGGTTTGGTTGAGTGGATTAGTGTCGGCGGAGCGGCGAAGTCGTCGATGATATACACATCGGGATTATGTTTGGCTACAATCGCCTTAAGCTGCGGTCCATTGGCTCGCATTTTGTCCACCAAATCCTCAAAGAAGCTCAAAGTGTGCATTATTTTCATGGATTCACTCGACGTTACGTTTGATAGGATTCCCGACTCGAGTACATATTTGGCTGTATTTTCTCCCGGCTTTTGAGCACTTGTTTTCTCTGAAGTGAATATCTCTTCAATGAAACCAAACGGCGATAACTTTCCCGCAAATGACTGGTCGACAGCAAAGACTATTTTGTGGCCCCGACTCAGCAGTACTTCAGCCATACCTATGCAGGCGTTCACGTGTCCCACGGCTTCGTTTGGCGCAAACAATATCGTTAACTTTTGTGCCATTTTTGTTAATCAATTAATTTATTTATTAATTATAATATGAAACTATAATGTATTTCTCAGTTTAGAAATAACTTAATTAAATTGCACTAAAATCTACGAGTATTTATATCAAACATGTTTATAAACAACTATTTAAAGTTCTGTACTTTTACGTCAAAATGTTTAATGTAATCATTAAAAAGTCAGTTATGACCAGAGGGGCTACTGAAGTGTATAGTGAAGTTATATGATTGAAATAGCAATTTTAATTCTATCATATTTCAATGGGGGACATCCCTGTTTATAATGAGTGCTCATTATATAAATAAAAACTAATCTTGGGTACATATCTGTGGCTTTCAAACGTACAAGATAAAGTATATTGCATAAATAGATGTATGTACATGCATAATGTAATATAATAAAGTTAATTTTTAAATTTAATTAATAGAGTAGTTTTGTGCTAAAAACATTAGCTTGATTTCAGTGAATTTGAATGCAGTAATCAATTAATAAATTTTTGTTTAATCAAATGTAATGATCGTTTGCACTAAAAATTATAGCATGAAGTTTTCTATTTGAACATTGAGTCAAATATAAATCAAAACATAAATTTTAGTAATATTTATTTATTAACAAATTTGATTATTAATTTAATTTCGTATTCAATCCACAAAATCTATACAAAAATTATAGGTGTTTGTAAAAATAATTATAATAATAAATAATTATTAAAAACTAGGAATTGTATTTGCTTTTATTTTAATCTATTAGTCAATAAATATTTCTTTACATAAGAATTACTTTTGCACATAAAAATTAAATACATGTTTACAATAAGTTTACAAATTATGTTTAAATAGTTTTCAATACAACAAATGATAAGTTTTTACAAAAGTTTTAATTTTGAAAAAAGTCCTCCAATTCTCGTAAGTCTTCATCGGATTTGAGAAATTGTGAGACAATGTTATCGAAGAGAAAACTAATGATCTGTTTGTATGATTTGGTCTCAAACTCGGGAACAGTTGTCTTAATTATGCGCCAGTTTTTCATCAAATTATTAAATGAAGAGATATTTTCAAACCTTTCTTTAATTAAATCCCAATCGATGGACAACTCGTCGTCGAAATTATATTTAAATAAACAATAAATCAATTTTGATGTGTCTTTTAGTGACCACTTGTCCTCCATTTGATCGAAATTAGCGATTTTCCACCGAAGAGTATATATCCAATGGTACCGCACATCATATTCACTTCTATTCAATTGTGATAAATCTCTCACTTCTTTGTATTTAATATTTTTATCAAATATATGTTGTGTTAAGTCATTCGTATTTAACCACAATTTCAAAGCATTTATTAGCTTCAAATCGTGGTCTAGAGTCCAGTTACCGGTCTCATAGAGCTGTCCATCACTATTATAATGAGCATAAATATCACATGCTATGTTATAGGGATTGCATTGAAATGGTTCACTAATTTTAGTCCATTTGTTGCCATACATTGAATGCAATGACTTTATATTCTTCCTGTCGTTTGTGGTCAACGCCTTCACACCTTTCAATGTATTGAACCGACTCTTCGCTGTTTTATGGATGTTTTGAACCGTACGGTTAGGCAAACCATAGCCTAATCTCAGGTAAAACTTTTCACGTCTCATGAATTCCCGAAACTTTTTTCTATCAGTTTTCGTGTATTTAACGCTTAATGAGAAAAACCCTAATAAACGTGTTTTCATGTCTTCATCGCAATTGAATTCATCACAAAATATTTGCCAATTATTTGTTAGGATTTCAATCTCTTGTGAATCAAATTTGCCTTTAATTACATGAATGTTATTGTCTTTTATTAATTGTCTGTGTTTTGCACTAAACTGTGGCGTTGGGCTCAATAGATGTAATGGAGAGTCACTTATAAGGCATTTATCATTAACACTATTATTATTTACTGAATTTATAATTACTTTATTAATAGTATTAATACTATTATTATAATCGTTTGAAATATCAATGGTTTCACTATTTTGCACACATTTATCACTTGACACACAGTTCGTTGAATTATTTTCATTACAATCATTATTACTTTTAATGTTATTATTATTGATTGAATTAATAATTAAATCATTATTTTTCAAGTTATTTGAATCAATGGCTTCATTGCAAACATTTGTGACAACAAAACCCTTTCGTTTCAATGATTTCTTATAATTATTATTATTTAATCTCTTTTTACAATCAATTGATTTAATTGTAAATCCTTTATAACCACTCATTATATAAACATTTATTAAACAAAACACACATTAAAGTAAAGCAAAACAAACACAATAAACAACACGTGTTCACAATGTTTTCCTAACAGTACTGTATTGACAGTACATTTACCACGTTTTGCACACGGCTTTCAAACTCGTGGTATATAATATAATACTTCATCATAATTTATGATTTATAAATAATCATTTTTTATTAACATTAATTAACATTAAAATTAATTTAAAAAACAATTTAACACAACCATGACAATTAACTACCGTTTTTCAAGACCGAGGGTAATGCTCTTAGCGGTCAACATCGGGGTCAAATTATAGTACTCAATAGGAACCTCAGTCTGTGGGACCTTGGTAAACCTAAAGTGCATCACAATGTGGGCCACCGCTAACTTGACCTCCATCAGTGCGAACCTCATGCCCAGGCAATTGCGGGGTCCGGTGCCGAACGGGACGTAAGCATAGGGCACTAGTTTATGCTTATTCTCGGGTAACCACCGGTCGGGTCGAAACTCGTTGGGCTCCGAGTAGTACTTCTCTGACCGGTGTATGGCATACACCGGGATCTCAACCATTTGTCCTTTACGTACGACCACACCGTCGGCGCCGAGGGCTATGTCCTCAGAGGCCACCCGTTCCAGTCGGACGAGGGGTGGGAATAGGCGTAGGGTTT